AAATCAAAGCATATTCTGAAAAATATGATTAAAAATAATACTTGAAAACATCGCTGTTTTTCCACTTGAAACGTAAAAAAGCTTATGAAATTTCACCAACTTTAAATCCTTTTTGACTATCTACTCCTCCCTCTTACATTTTGTCACGAATTTTTAGATAACCCCATACTGATGTCACACTTGATTTACCACCTTCCGATATTAAGATCAAACATTTCTGTAAAACAAATCTATAGTTTTACAGAGTTAATTTAGTCATATTTCCTGTCAAGGTAAGACTAATTTTAAAAACTAAGCAATAGAGATAAATAAATTCACCGATTTACCACAAAAATCTGAAGATATTGTATTAATTTCTACTATATACCGGTATATCTTTGTTATATCTTTACTTGTATTATATATCTGTAAAAGTTAAGTTGCCGCTGTCCTTTTATATTAAAAGTTTTACTAGAATACTTCCAACAGAGCATATTTAGAACAGCTCTTATAAAGTGTAACTATCATATTTAAATAAGAAAGAACTTACTGGTCAAAATACTTCTGCATAATAATTTTGGTAAAAATTCTACTAACACTTCTCAAGCCCATGTAACAAAACTTGTACAGTACATATATGTTCCCCTCTTCAGCGCAGACACGATATTTGAATGACCCCTTTACAGAGAAGCAAAAATAATTAATTTTATATAAAACTGAAATGAAGTAGTTGTAGTAACTTAATTTAGTACAAGTTAAAGCTACAAATTTTGCATAATTTAATATAAACAGCTATAAAAACCCTCTAATTTATTATTTACGAGAAAGATATTAAAACATTATGAAAATTTGTAAGGACAAACTTATAATTAAAGAAATAATTTAATAGAAGTTTACTTTAGTTTCTGTAAAATAAATTAAAGTTTAGGTTTTCTAGAAAATTTATTAATCTATAAATAATTCGAAAAATCAACCTAATTTTTAAAAATTTATTATCCAATATTTATTGGTATGTGTAGTGAATTTAAAATTTTTCTTTTCTCAACACAATGATTTATGATCCTGTCAATAGCTGATTTAATGACAGTTATGGGAGAATAAATTTATCTGTCATACGACCAATGAATTACTTTTCAATTTAGTAGAGCAAGACAATTTCTAAATCAATCAACTATACAGAATATAATGAATCTAATCGTAATTTATAGAAGTTTATATAACTCCAGTTCTCTACTTTAGTCTGTTGTATTAATTCACAATGTGATACATAACTGGAAAAAAACAAATAACGATAATTATATTTTCTTCTAAATTTCTACTTCAAATAAATGTAAAAATAAATAAATATTAGAATAACATTGAAAGACATGTTTATTTTATCTCAACTTAAATCTATCTACAAACGAATCTTTAAAACAATACATAATATAATCCTAATTAGGATTATACTGATGTTTCAAGACTATGAATGGAACAAAGAAGTTCCGTTCATAGAAATTTTTATATTATAAATAACTTAAATTGCATTTTATATATTTCTGCACGCTTAATTTTACTTGTACAATAGAAATATACGAATGACATTATTTTTAAGAGGTTGACGGATTTTATCCTGCTGTCAACAGTACACAAACAGATGTGGATCGCAACAATTATCAGCGCCTTTGGAGTGGCACCCTTAGGCCGAAACACATTTATTTTTATTTTAACAAAGATTATGTCACTGTCAAACCGAAGCTCGAGGCAAATAAGATTTTGTGAAAATATTACTGTACTCTGGAATTAAATACGTCTAACAGTTGTAGTTAGTGAATAACTGACAACACACACGTTTAAATTATTTTAACCTGATTTTATAATTTCTTCTTTGATAATGGTCTTCCAGAATATTCTATAGATCAGTGTTTCCCAAACTTTTCAAGGACCAGTTTTTTTCGTTTAAATCCCAGTATTTTTGTGAAAATAAAAAGTTAAAAATCATTATAAAATGAAGCGAGCGGGAATTCAAATTCATTTTTATTTTAATTTTTAGACTGAATTAGAGAAACAATGGGTTTGTGGGCCGTTTTCAAGTGATTTTTCAGGCTGATTTCCTGCCACTATATGTTTAAATGAGTGGTTCTTAATCAGTGTTCCGCAAACCTGCCTCGAGTATTCCACGAAAAAAAATTTTGAAGTTTTTATTGCAAATTTATTTCAATGTAAGCCTATTACAATATATTACCATGTTCGTAGACAATTACATGTTTCTATATTCTTCAATACATTAAAGTATATTAGTTTATTGCATTCATTGTTTCCTGAAAATAGTAAACGTGGAATTGCTTATCGATTTTTGAATATATTGATGCTAATTCTCTTGTAATAAAAAGTATACGAATGGTGTTTCGCAGCCTCAGAAAGGTTGAGAACCACAAAGGTTGGTTTACCGTAAATAATAAAGACAAATTAATTATATGTTTTTTAAAGACTTTTTAAATAGTTTTATTTAAAAAGTCTTTAAAAACGTAATTTTAAACTTAATATAAGTGAAATCTCGTTGCAGCTCAGTGGTAGTCCGCGAACCACAATTTGGATAACACTGAAATACATCATGAAAATATCAATAATTTAAATGATAATTGTTGATAAATGTATATTGAGTGTATGAGAATTCAATTTTAAATACTTATTTACGTATGAAAAAATATAATAGGTTTATATTTAATGAACAAAATGTTAAATTTGATTTAAGCCTAATTTAATTCTAATTTAATTGGAATTAGGCTTATATCAATTTAGGTAAAATAATGTGTGTTTTTTTGTTTATTTTCTTTATTTTAAAGATAAATTTATTGGAATTAATAAATTTTAAGTTCTGATACTGTTTACGAAACTTTAATATCATAAAATATTTAAAAATAGTCAAAAGAAAATGAACTTACATTCAATTATAAAACAGACGATTTTTTTAAATATTTAAAATTTTAAGCGCCCCCTTAAGGAAGAAAACAATTTTTATTTTATTTTATTTAATTATTTAAATTTAAAAGCCGATCAGATTTATATTATCGGCATAAAATTCCAAACATTTTTAGTATAAAAAATAACTTAACTTTCGTTATTTTAATACGCAATAGTTTAAAAGAATAAAAGGGGAACTTCTCATTTAAAATGACAGTACCCGTTTTCGGATCTTTTTACGTTTACTTTTTCCCTTTTTCATCGACCTCAAATTTAGCCAGATTTTTTTTTTTTTTTTGTAAAGTAGAAACAATTATACCTAAAAACTTTGTAAGGTTTGAGACCTCGTAAACCTCAATAGAAACGAGTAATAAACCATACCGTAGCATGTTACATTTGTAAAATCATAAGAGTTAATTTGTCTGTGTTACGTATGTAATGGCTTAACGCTCTTCAAAGGGCGTATTTTTATATAAAAAATATAATTTAATATAAAGCAAACGCTTTTATATTGGTTGAAGAACCTTAACATTCACCAGCGATTAAATTCATACACAAAAAATTAATTTAAAAAAATATTCTTAAAAAGGATATTTAGAAGAGTAAAAATGAATGTTTCAATATATTATGAAACCATTGAATGAGTCATGTATAAAGGTTTATCATTGAAAAAAAGAAAAATATTATGAATAGTCTAATACGGTGTTTCCCAAATAGGGGGTCGCGAACGATATTCTCAGATAATGTCAGGGTCTTCTTGTATACAAAAAAAGGGGTCGCCGAATAAAAAAGATTGGGAAACACTGGTTTAATTAATACCTTAATACAAACCAAACAAAATAAACTTTATCTTTAAGGTCATTTTAATTATTGCATTTAAATGGCATTTTACAGATGAACTGTTCTCTTGACTCTTTTCATGTTAATCAATTAATCAAAGGATTAATATAGTTTTTATTCATATAGCAATTAGCCTAAATAACAATCTGTTGTTATTCTCTGTTAAATATATATATAGGCTACATATAAGATAATAAATGTACGTAAGTGATTATTTCTCTACTTCTGTACTATCTTTTACACCTGTTAAATATACATTGTTCTTCACCAAAATGATAATAATTTGTTTAATATTCTAATTGTAATGTACAATTAGAATAAAATTTAGTACAAATTCTATTTTAATTGAGTACAAATAGTGTTTACATATTGTTCAAAATATATTTTTTTTAGCCATTTTTAAAACAATGCGTGGGCATAACATACTTTTGTCATAGGTCTACTATATTTTGTATAGAAATCAGGCAGTATATGTTATACAGACCTACTTTACGTAAATTATTACTACTACTACTACTTAAGGCTAAAGTTCCATTTTATACCAAATATAAGTCAATAAGTAAACAATAATTTTTTTAATTGTTACATAGACTAACTTATATAATCGCATAAATTATTTTGATTTGCACCTATAGGGCTTTTATTAAGAAAAATATGAATAAATCTAACGTTTTTTTGAATAAATAAATTTGTAAATTAATCATTTTTTATCTAGAATAAGATCTATAGAATATCACACCCATTTAAAGTACAAAAACTCAAGAGAATTTTTATTCTATTCATTAGAAAGTAAATCGCATATTGACCCATTTAAATTTTTAAAACCTAATTAATCCGATTTTGAAACTGTTTTTCTTTTTTTTCTATTCGAATAATAATTATTATATGATTTATTTATGACAAAAATTAATCATTTATTTTTAAAACCATTTTATTCTTATTAATTTATGCGATGTTTATCTGTATTTTTACGGGAAAATGAATACAGCGCCCGTACACACAGTATAGTAGTACACGTCTACGACGATCAATGTCGTATCTTTAGACAATACTTGTCTGTGTAATTCTAATCAGATGTGCGTAAACAATTCAAATTTTCAATATTATCAAGATATGATTGTAATTTTATCGTTTATCTAACGTCCTTTATGATAACAATGAAAAATTTCTCAACTTAAATTCTTTTATGATTATCATTTGTTGCTTACGTACGACGCCATTTTAATTGTCACGCGATTAAAAATTATTTCGTCGTCATCGTCGTTTAAAGTTTTTAATACGTATTATTTAAAAAAGAAAATTTTTTTAAAATCGTTTTTTTTACGGTTTAATAAAACCGACGTCATGACGAAGCCGGTGTGACGTAATGGAAAGAATAGGCGGATGGCGCCTGCGCTCTGTTGTCAAGGTAACGGACAGGTAAGAGGGAAAGGTGACGACAAACCAGGCGAGTCCGTTCCGGGAGATTGAACAGCAAAGATTGTCCGTTTCTCCTCGTTAAACGATGGAAAGTTACGAATACGAAGACATACCCGAAATCGAACTGATTATAAAGGTAATATTTTCTTTAATTAATTCCCATTCAATTCGTCAATAACAAATTACCCGCGAAACGTTGTGACAAACTTTCCCAACTTTTACTCGCAAAAAAAAAAAAAAAAACGGTGTTAGTGGGTCTCCGAATTGGCAAATTAACCGTCGAATAAACCCGAAATAATACGTGTAAACACTCCATTTGAGACTTTATATTCATGTAAAATAATTTTTTTTAATCAATTAATTAAGTTTTATACATTTTAAAGTTAAATATAACATTTTATAACATCATTTAATACCTGCAAGTACAAAGTTTGTGTATTTATATGCATAACTTACTTTCAAATTAATTACAGGGAGATTGAACTGTGTTCAGTTAGATCCTGTGTTATGTTTATTTTTAAATTCTCAGAATATTTTTAAAATATTTGTAATATGAAGTATTGAATAAAAATAACTAGCATACTTTTTTAAGTAGAAAATTTAAATATTTGATGTGATTTTTAGGCTTCCACAATAGATGGAAGAAGAAAGGGCGCCTGCCTTTTTTGCCAGGAATATTTTATGGACCTTTATCTATTGGCGGAATTAAAAACCATAGCTTTAAAGGTAAGTGTATATATAATATATGATGTATAATATTTTCTACTTAGCATAAAATCAGCCTAGTCAGCCTGAAAATTAAATAGTCATTACCACTTTTGATTTACAATACTTGTCCTTGAATTCTACCTACACACAAAAAGTAAATCCTATTGTTTAATATGACAAAAATCTTGCAATAAAAATGTGATTTTTAAAAAATGTTTAGAATATAATAATAATAATAATTAATACTTCTAAACTGATTTTTAATACTTTATAGTTACAAAAAGAGCATTTTTTTTTCTTAAATTTTAATCTGTTTATAAAGTATGATCTACAAATTTATCTGTTGCAATCAGTTAAAACAATTGAATGTCCTTGTAATCTGCTTGCTTAAAGGATTTATAATATTGCATTCATTGTAATATGTAAAAGATTTATGATGCTTGAAAGAGATAGGATTCCTTTCAATACTTAGTCTTTTTTTATCAGTGAATAAATGATGTAGCTGTTATGACGCATATCATAATTATAGAATTACATACAAAAAATAAACCATAACTTATTTGCAGAATGATTGCAAAACAACAACCGTATCAACCGATTTTAATAAATTTAATGTAGCAATTTATGTATAACAAGACAATAAGTAGTTTAGCATTAGTTGCGATAGTTGTTTTTCGCTCGATTTGTGTAATTTATAGTATTTACCAGTCGGATATAACAAGTAACGCGACAACTTGCAAAGAAAAATGTATTATGACTTTAAAAATATTTATTTATTTCAAAATATGTTTATGTAAGTTGTCATTAAATAATTTATCAAATTATGTAAAAACTTGTCTTTGCTTCATGTACAGATTTTTATTATTATATAAGTCGATTTCGAATGAAAAAACAGGTTAAGAAATATTAATAATTATGATAAATAAAAATGGAATTAAATTTTTCTACGATCTTTTCATGTACATTATAAAAAAAGTGTCATTACCAAATTCAAATTAATCTTACTCAAAGCTAAAAATAGCCTTTTTATCTGATAAAATTGCTTAACAACTTAAAAAAAAAACACATTTAACTTTAATTATTTTAATGTTCTGATTATTTTTTAAAAAAATTTAAATTTTTCGCTCGAAAAATGTCAGTTGCACCATAAAAAGTACAGTATTTTATTTGCATGGGAAAATAATTCCACTTATGACTAGTTTTTCTGGAAAATATTTATTATAAAATAATCTGTCTACTGTTTCTCTCTTTCTACTATAATTGGCATCAGACATTATTTCTCATGCTTTGCTAATCAGCCAATGAATAAAACAATTCAAGGACATAAAAGTGGCGGCATTCAAACAATGAACGAACCTTTTCAGAAAGAACTTTAAAAAAAAAAAAGTTTTATGACAATTTGCGAAAAGTTCGAGCAACAGTTACCACATTAATATAGTGATTATTTAATGTAAATTTTAGAAATAATACCTTTAAATTGTTTCTAACATTCTTGAGATGAAACTGTTCTTTTGTATTTTACTTGAAGCTTAAAGTATTTGAACACTTAATGATTTTTAAACTCCAAGAAAGCAGTTTTATCTTTAGTTTTCTTACATTGCAAAAGTATAATAATATATTTGAAACATTCTCTTGTACAAAAATACACTGAACATTTCTCTTTGCTTAATATAATGTAAAACATTAATTTTACAAAAGAATATTTTATAAGAAGCAAATTCTTAAGCTTATACTATGCTTTGTTGAACAAAAGTTAAATAAGATTTTATCTTTTAATTAAGCTTTAAACTTTGCAAATAACAACTCTACTTTCTTTTTATCATTTAATGAATTTATTGAACCTTTGCTAATCGAGCTACATGCTATCTATTAACATCTTAAATATGATGACAAATTATAAACTATAAGTAAACATTGTCATGTTATTAATTGTGAATAAACAAATATTATTCTATCAGAAGAGAGAACTGTGTGTATTTTTTGTGTGTCTGTAAGACAAATTAATATGTATTATTGCTAATACATTTCTAACTTTATTAAAAGTTGTGACTTATGAATTAGGAAAAGTTATTAAATTTTTTATGAAATAAATTGGAGGAAACTGTAGAAAGCAATTTCATAATAAGTGATAGAAATTTCCTTAAAATTAACATGCAACATTACTTGCATTTCATAATCATTTTAATGTATTCTTATAGAAAAGTAGGTAATTACATTTATCAAATCTTAACTTTTAATCTGTAGGTAACTACAGTCGACATGTTAAAACCACCGTCGGATTTCCGTTCAAATTTCGACTCGACTCCTCCTCCCATTCTCATCGATAATGGACAGGCTATACTTGACAACGAAAAAATTGAACGATACATCATGAAAAACGTACCAGGTGGACATAATCTTTTTGTGCGAGATAAGGATACTGCTAACGTCATTGAAAACTTGTACAGTGTAAGTGTAAATTTCATTGTTGATATTTCAATAATAAATTTGTCATCTCAGCTTGACAAATAAAAAAACTGAAATTGAATGAGTAATATATAGAGAATATACTTTGACAGGAATCAAATATTTGATGTATAAATGTTTTTGAATCCTCTAAGTGTTGTCTTGCATACAATCTATAATATAAAATAAGCATTAGAATATTTTACATGCACTATTAAAATAATCATGCAATATAAAAGATCGTCTTCATAATCTAGTTATTTCCATAGGAGGAAATAACAAAATAAGTCATTGTTTAAGACATTATTTTCATATTACAAGCATTTTCATATCACTTTTTTCTTGTTTTATAATGCATGATTATTGCTATAGCTGTATTACATGCTTCATTGACATTTATTTGTCTTTTGTTATATTGACCTCAATCTAAACTACTTTGCAGTCTTATCCATTTGATCTTACTATGCAAGCGTACTTTTTTTATATATGGGTAGATGTCGCTAACCACTGACGACAGGATATGTTCTAAGAAATATGTCGTTATGTGAACATCATAGACAAATTTTACACAAATAGCTTTCCCGTAAGATTATGCTGGAGCTCAAAAATATAAATTTTTGAGCTCCAGCATAATCTTATGGGACTTTTGTCATGTATACAGTCCTCCATCGTTAAATGGAGTATAACCTGTAAGAGGATCTGTCAAGTCAAGATTTTCTGAAAAATATTTCTACACCTGTATATTGCAATATTATAAAAATTTAAAGCTCTTTCAACATACAATCATAAGTTTTATATACTAAAAAAATTCTAATATTTTATTAATGTGAGAAATAATAATAAAGATAAATTTACTTAACCTTAAACTTCTCTGTTATCATATCAACACATAATAAAACTTGTTAGATGTTTAGAAAAATTATTATTTTCGCAATTTAATGTGAAATATCATCCTGGATATCTTTATCTAGAACAGAAAATGTACAAAAAATAATAATTTTTTAGTGCTTCAAAAAAACAATAATAATATTTCAGAAAACCAGAAAGTATATTAAATGATGATAGTTTAAGTTCTAATTAGTTAAGTAATGTAAAGTTTATGATAAAGAATAATTTTTTTTTAGTAATTTTAAACTTGATTCTAAATTTTAAATAGTTTTTTTATTTTATAGAAATTTAAATTACTTTTAACAAAAAGAGATGATCAGTCAAAGAGAGCATTGTTGAATCAACTGAAGAGAATAGACGTCCATCTCGGAAGATCCGACGAACGCTTTTTAACGGGGAACGCCATGTGCTGTTTCGATTGTGAATTAATGCCGAGATTGCAACACATCAGAATTGCAGGTAATGCATATTCTCTGTAATATAGCTTTTTAAAAAGTGTGTAATTTCACACTATGGATTTTTATTCGATATCAGATTCTGTATTGTGTTTAGTGTTATCTAATATTCTATCAATACTGTTTCAGAAAATTTTATATATATATATATAATTTTTAAACAATTTTTAAGTGAGATAGCNAAAATAATTCCACTTATGACTAGTTTTTTCTGGAAAATATTTATTATAAAATAATCTGTCTACTGTTTCTCTCTTTCTACTATAATTGGCATCAGACATTATTTCTCATGCTTTGCTAATCAGCCAATGAATAAAACAATTCAAGGACATAAAAGTGGCGGCATTCAAACAATGAACGAACCTTTTCAGAAAGAACTTTAAAAAAAAAAAAGTTTTATGACAATTTGCGAAAAGTTCGAGCAACAGTTACCACATTAATATAGTGATTATTTAATGTAAATTTTAGAAATAATACCTTTAAATTGTTTCTAACATTCTTGAGATGAAACTGTTCTTTTGTATTTTACTTGAAGCTTAAAGTATTTGAACACTTAATGATTTTTAAACTCCAAGAAAGCAGTTTTATCTTTAGTTTTCTTACATTGCAAAAGTATAATAATATATTTGAAACATTCTCTTGTACAAAAATACACTGAACATTTCTCTTTGCTTAATATAATGTAAAACATTAATTTTACAAAAGAATATTTTATAAGAAGCAAATTCTTAAGCTTATACTATGCTTTGTTGAACAAAAGTTAAATAAGATTTTATCTTTTAATTAAGCTTTAAACTTTGCAAATAACAACTCTACTTTCTTTTTATCATTTAATGAATTTATTGAACCTTTGCTAATCGAGCTACATGCTATCTATTAACATCTTAAATATGATGACAAATTATAAACTATAAGTAAACATTGTCATGTTATTAATTGTGAATAAACAAATATTATTCTATCAGAAGAGAGAACTGTGTGTATTTTTTGTGTGTCTGTAAGACAAATTAATATGTATTATTGCTAATACATTTCTAACTTTATTAAAAGTTGTGACTTATGAATTAGGAAAAGTTATTAAATTTTTTATGAAATAAATTGGAGGAAACTGTAGAAAGCAATTTCATAATAAGTGATAGAAATTTCCTTAAAATTAACATGCAACATTACTTGCATTTCATAATCATTTTAATGTATTCTTATAGAAAAGTAGGTAATTACATTTATCAAATCTTAACTTTTAATCTGTAGGTAACTACAGTCGACATGTTAAAACCACCGTCGGATTTCCGTTCAAATTTCGACTCGACTCCTCCTCCCATTCTCATCGATAATGGACAGGCTATACTTGACAACGAAAAAATTGAACGATACATCATGAAAAACGTACCAGGTGGACATAATCTTTTTGTGCGAGATAAGGATACTGCTAACGTCATTGAAAACTTGTACAGTGTAAGTGTAAATTTCATTGTTGATATTTCAATAATAAATTTGTCATCTCAGCTTGACAAATAAAAAAACTGAAATTGAATGAGTAATATATAGAGAATATACTTTGACAGGAATCAAATATTTGATGTATAAATGTTTTTGAATCCTCTAAGTGTTGTCTTGCATACAATCTATAATATAAAATAAGCATTAGAATATTTTACATGCACTATTAAAATAATCATGCAATATAAAAGATCGTCTTCATAATCTAGTTATTTCCATAGGAGGAAATAACAAAATAAGTCATTGTTTAAGACATTATTTTCATATTACAAGCATTTTCATATCACTTTTTTCTTGTTTTATAATGCATGATTATTGCTATAGCTGTATTACATGCTTCATTGACATTTATTTGTCTTTTGTTATATTGACCTCAATCTAAACTACTTTGCAGTCTTATCCATTTGATCTTACTATGCAAGCGTACTTTTTTTATATATGGGTAGATGTCGCTAACCACTGACGACAGGATATGTTCTAAGAAATATGTCGTTATGTGAACATCATAGACAAATTTTACACAAATAGCTTTCCCGTAAGATTATGCTGGAGCTCAAAAATATAAATTTTTGAGCTCCAGCATAATCTTATGGGACTTTTGTCATGTATACAGTCCTCCATCGTTAAATGGAGTATAACCTGTAAGAGGATCTGTCAAGTCAAGATTTTCTGAAAAATATTTCTACACCTGTATATTGCAATATTATAAAAATTTAAAGCTCTTTCAACATACAATCATAAGTTTTATATACTAAAAAAATTCTAATATTTTATTAATGTGAGAAATAATAATAAAGATAAATTTACTTAACCTTAAACTTCTCTGTTATCATATCAACACATAATAAAACTTGTTAGATGTTTAGAAAAATTATTATTTTCGCAATTTAATGTGAAATATCATCCTGGATATCTTTATCTAGAACAGAAAATGTACAAAAAATAATAATTTTTTAGTGCTTCAAAAAAACAATAATAATATTTCAGAAAACCAGAAAGTATATTAAATGATGATAGTTTAAGTTCTAATTAGTTAAGTAATGTAAAGTTTATGATAAAGAATAATTTTTTTTTAGTAATTTTAAACTTGATTCTAAATTTTAAATAGTTTTTTTATTTTATAGAAATTTAAATTACTTTTAACAAAAAGAGATGATCAGTCAAAGAGAGCATTGTTGAATCAACTGAAGAGAATAGACGTCCATCTCGGAAGATCCGACGAACGCTTTTTAACGGGGAACGCCATGTGCTGTTTCGATTGTGAATTAATGCCGAGATTGCAACACATCAGAATTGCAGGTAATGCATATTCTCTGTAATATAGCTTTTTAAAAAGTGTGTAATTTCACACTATGGATTTTTATTCGATATCAGATTCTGTATTGTGTTTAGTGTTATCTAATATTCTATCAATACTGTTTCAGAAAATTTTATATATATATATATAATTTTTAAACAATTTTTAAGTGAGATAGCAGATATTACTAAATTAGAATTTTAGTTTATCTCATAAGATATATAGAAATTAAAGGTTTCAATCAAGTTATTTTCCCCCTTCAAAAGCCATAAAGATAAAACTTAAATTTATTTTCTGTTATCACTAATATTGAATGCTTCACATTTCAGATGTTTTGTTTTGTTACTAATTGAATTCTGGTTGTTAGTATAATGATGATATTAATTTATAGTTTCTCATAAAATAGACTACAGATGCTAATTGTAGATCATGTTAGCTTTTTCTTAGAAGTAGATTCATTTTGACAAAATTGAAATAAAAAGTATTATTATATATCTAATTATACTAATTGCTTTTATTAGATAATGTGAAAATTTAAAGTGAGTTAAACTTGATATTTGTACAGTTTAATTTTGAAAGCATTTCAACTGTAATAATTCTTTGCATAACTAATAATTTAACAATATTTTGGTTTCTATTGCCTTCTCATCACTTTTCTGGCCGTAATACATTTTCTGCATACAAAATGACAAATAATTCCAATCATCAGTACTTTAATAACTATTCAGATGAATATGTCTTATAATATCCTGTGAAGTTTTCAGAATTAAAACATTAATGCAATTATACAACTTGCATAGATCATATGTACAATACAAATGAATATCAAGTTAGTAGCTAACTAATGTACTTAAATTTTATCCAAAAATAGTTTAATTAAATTTTAAAAATATTATGGTCAGATTTAAATAAAAACAAGCTTGATTTTTTAATAAGCTTTTTATAACAGAAGTGTGCAACATGCAGACTTAATGTTTTCCCCAAAATCAAGTGTGTTAGAATTATGAGTTTTTCTTAACATTTATCTAAAATAAATGTGCAAGTGAATCAAACAATGCAAAACTATGTAATTAATGTCCTTACGAATACATTTTAGTCATTTTAATGCATCCTGTTCAAAAACAATTTAATATAGTCAAAGACAACACTTTCATTGTGCATCCTTGTTTTACACTGTATGCTTCAGATTTAAATTATACATTTAAAATTTCTATATGATTAGTTTAAATTTAATGTATATATTTTTTATATTACAGGGAAATATTTTCTTAACTTTGAGATACCGACAAGCCTAAAAAATCTGTGGAGATACATGTACAATATGTATCAGTTAGATGCCTTCACCCAGTCGTGTCCAGCTGATCAAGACATCATCAACCATTATAAACTTCAGCTGGGTAGCAAAATGACAAAGCACGAAGAATTGGAATTACCAACTTACACAAATACAGTTCCTGTCAAATAAAATATTCGGCCTTTGAGGAGTTGCTCGGAATTTTATCGAAAGAACTATATCAAATGTTATATATTTGTTTTATACATTTTAAAACTAATATAAATTATATGAATTTTCATATTTTTACGAATTCTTAAGAATATCTCAGCTCTTCTCTGCAAGTAGAAAATATTCTACGATTCAGTTTCTCTCGGGAGGGCCAGTATTACCGAATAACATGCTTGAATGCAATTTTCAATGTAATAAGACTTTTAGGAAGAATTTTTACACATTTGTAATGCATTAATTTTTTTATTCTACACATAAATGGTTGGCTTTTGCAATAATAAACAACAGTAGTTATAGAATTGTATATCTAGAATAATTTTGTAAGTTTGGCTTTGTCCATATTTAGATCCTACTCTAGCACTGCAAGTCTTCAAAATTAAAATATCTCTAACTGCATTAACCTATCGCACATTTAAAACATCATTTTAATTGGAAACATTAATATATAGAACATTTAAAAGGGACTTTTCTAACAAGACTTTCTTAAAATATATTTCCGTTCAGTGATTTGCAGTCATGTCTCTCTATCTAGTACAAAGTAATTCTAGAGCTGCTTTTAAATTTTAAACTAACTTTTAATTAATATTTTTGTTAATTTTATTATTTTAATATTTGAGAAGTAATATATAAAAATACTATTCAGATTTGCATGAAAAATGTGATAGCAAACAAGTATGTTCATTGTACAAATACTGTAAAACAATGGAATTATTTTTGTATCCTATTTCATTATAATAAATGTTTAAAAAACCACCACTTTTTCATATTTTATTTTGGCACTTTTCAAATTATTACTGGTGCATCATATCAATTTATCAGGGATAAAATATAAAACTTTCAAAAGAACACGTGTGTTATTGTCTTATTACTTCAAAAGTGGCCACAATGTGGATCTCATCTGTAAGGCATATGTCAAGGATACAGTCAACAGACAGACCTGTAATAATTGGTTCAAGAAATTCAAGGGTGGAGATTTCTCTCCAAGATGAATCTCATCCAGGCAGTGATTCCACCATTGACATTCTCCTACAATTGATAGGCGATAATCCATGGTTGACCACCAGAGAATTAGCATGATAACTTGAGCATTCCCATACACTCCAAAAATTGAAAAAGGCCAATACCACAACATGCCAGCACACAGAACAAAGATGACTTTATAGAAGCTGGCCAGTCTGGAAGGTTCTGCCTCATCCACCTTACAGTTCAGACTTGGCACCCTGTAAAACCATATTGTCAATATACAGTTCAATGACAATAACCTGTGAGAACAACACTGAGGCTTTGTTCGAAGAAAAACCTGTCATTCAATGCTCATGGGATTGAAAGTTTGCAGCAAAGATGGCAAGATGGGATTGATATTTATGGTGATTATCTACAAGACTGAACTGTATTGTATTGTACTAAACTCAATGATTAGTTTTTTTTTTCCAATTGCATTTACATAATAGTAATTGGGTTATAACCCAATTACTATTATGTAAATGCAATTGCTTAATTAATGTGGCATAAGCAAAACACGAAGCAACTAATTTGATGCAGCACAATTTCGATATTCACAAGTGAAATTTATTACTTGTACAAATTTCATAGTTGCAATATATTTTTAATTGTAGAGAAATATTTTATTAGAGTTAAAAATCATAAATGAATTCTGTTAAACTTTATAGAATCTTTATAAATTTATAAAGTCTTTAATTATTATATGAATGCTGAAAATTTATGCTATTTCACTCAGAATTGATTTGCAAAATGCAAATGTATTGACAGTTGTACACATTTTTAGGAATGAATTAGAGACTGCTTATGATTGAGTTTATTATAAATATCAAATATTCTATTTGATAATGACTACAGGTTCATAAATGAAAGATTCTAAACTATTCATATACCTCATGCTTACAATGGTAACTCTAACTTCTTACAATCTTTAATAGCAATATGCATTTTGGGGTTTTGTAACTCCTTCAGTCACTGTACTCATTGTTCGTAAATACCTTTTAATAAAAGGTGTAAAAGAATTCTTTGACCTCTTCCACACTATATTATAATAGAATCTTTTATTGTATTTCCTTCTTTGACAATATACAAATTTGTATTATACATAAAATCATAATATAAATTATAACAGAAACTTTTTAAAGAATTTAATATAACTTTGTTTTTGTTTTATTTTCCATAGAAAGTAGAACTACATTGTAAACTAGAACTGAAAGAGAGACTCCAGAAGTTTATTTACACACTACACGAGATATGACACATTCAAGCAATTTTTACTTTCCCAGTTCTGTTGTATTGGGTTGTTTGGAAAGTAATTTCATTTTTTCCACAAAAAAAAATTTTCTTATAATATATATTTTATTGAATTATATATTGACCATTTTGGTCCAATACTTTGTCATCTTTCTGGTAGTAGCATGATTCCATGCTCACAAAAGTTCTGATCTTTGCTTACAAAAAACTGATCCAAGTGATTTTTGACATCCTCATTTGAAGCAAATGTTTTACCTTTTAAAAATTTTGTAAAGACCAGAACAAGTAATAATCTGAGGGTGCCAGATCTGGCAAAAATGGTGGGTGTGGTAGCACATCCCATCCAAGCTGTAACAGCTTCTGAAGAGTTACCAAACTTGTGTGAGGTCTTGAGGTCTGGATTATTATAATGAAACACTACACCTTTTCTGTTGATCAATTCTGGCATTTTCTGTTTGATGGTACAGTAGAGCCTCGAAAACTTGGCCTAATGTGGATCGAAGGGTGGCCGAGTTTGTGAAAATGCCGGGTTATCGGGAATGGGGTTAAAGAAAAACTAAGTATGAGTGTTTCCTCAGAAAATACTGTACTGTATTTGTATGTATTGTTTACTTGAAAATACAACAGAGAATAAACTGCCCAAACACCCTTAAACAAAGGAAAAGTACAATCTTTATGAAAGCATAGAGCTTTTACTACATGAAAATGAAAATTAATGAATACACTGTGTACAGTAGTTTACCTGATAAGACAGACCCTGGAAAAATACTTTATGAGGCATAAAGCTGTTTATAATGAAAATTAATTAACTAAGGATTTTTTTGCCCTGCCAGGGTGTGGCCGGGTTATCGAGTGCCGAGTTTTCGAGGCTCTACTGTATCGCTCAATTTGTACAGTTGATGGCAGTATACTTCCAAATAAATTGTGGAATTGTCTGGTAGAAACTTGATAAACACAATTCACTTAAAATCCCACCAAACAGAGAGAATCACTTTTTTTTTATTATGAATATAGGCTTTTGAAGTGTTTTGAGCTCTTCTACCCCATGATTGCTTGAGTTTGACAATGTTATAAACAATCAGTTTTTGCCACCAGTTATGATTCAATTCAAAAATGGATCATTTTCTTGACATTTGAGAAGCAAATCACAGATGTCAATGCAACAGTGCAAACCTCTTTCTTTAAGAACATATGGAACCCATACATCGAGCTTTGAAACAAAACCAAGTTGTTTCAAGTGATCATAAATGGTTGAATTTGACAAATTTAATCTCTTAGCCATTTTGTTTCAATTGATATCTTTATTTTGTCAGTTTCAACTGGCCTTCCAGAATGTGGTGTATCTTCAATATCAAAATTGAAAATTTTGCGAACCAGTTTTGGCATTGTTGCTCTGTCAACACATCTCCATACATATATAACAATTTTTTCTTGCTTGAACAGCATTCTTACCTTTTCAATAATAAAAAAGCAAAATATGCCAAAAACGCTACTTTTGATTTTCTGTATTTAATGCAACCAAAAAAAAAGAAACAATTGCAAAGAATCAAATAACATTTTTTACAAATAAGCCTTGAAATGTCAGCTGTCAAAATATATAGTGACAATATGATTTAGAAAGAAATTGGCAGGTAAAAATACTACTAATCCATCTGGTGGTAAAAAAATGAAATTACTTTCTGAACACCCCAATATATACAGTAACACTCTGTTATATATAACAAAGGGAAAGTATGGCAATTGGTTAAAAAAATGATCCCTAAATTTTTACATGTTTGAACTCAGGGGACCTTGAAACATTGAAAAATGCAAAAAATTTGGGTGTTTTTCTGTATATAAAATTTTTTCTGGATGTTAGTGTTTGTGTGAGGCATGGTTTTATTCATTGTCTTTGTACCTTAATAACTCTTGTGCTTATTTTTGGAAATTTCTGAAATTTTGCAGGGCAGTTTGTGTATTAGGGGGATTTATGCTATTAAATTTTGGTGGTTAAAGGTCAAAGGGGTGGAGGGGATCATGTGTCATGTATCAAGTGGGATTGAACTTAATAAAGATTTTACTTGTTATCAGCATTTACAACTTTTTATAAAACTCATCCTTACCCTCAAAATTAAGCTTTTTGTCATTTTATAATAACTAAAAATATAAAAAATGTTTAAATAAAAAATCATAATAAATGATCCTACATGCAGTTTTAAATGTTACCAGGAAAGTTAAGCAACTTTATCATTTTTGTTTCTTTATGCGTTTCCTGGACCTGGATGTTTTCATTTTTAGACTTCTCTTTTTCCCACCCTCGTTTGGTTTCACACAGATACAAATACCCTTTTCAGTCTGGTTAGGTTTCATTTTTTTCATCTTTCTATCCAAAGGTCAATCTCAGGATATACTCATATTCATTACAAAATATCAACTTGATATTTTGCAACAAAATACGAGCACATCATGGATGAGGGTGCCGAGAAAAAGTTAAGCAATGAGTTGCTGGATTTTTTCAGAATAACGGATGTTACAGATTTAGGAACTATTATAATGCTTTCCTTTGATGTGAACTTCTAGAAGTATGTCGAGGATGTGCAGAAAATCCGCGACGTACTTCTAGAAGTTCTTGTTCAACAGTGCAGATAGATCATGCATCCATAGGGGATTCAGTTCTATCCAATGGCTTCACGAGTCACCAGACATTGCAGCTTTGACTTCTTTTTCCAGGAAAATGTAGAAACCTCTCTATTAACTTGAAATTTGTCCAAGTTGAAGCAATGCATTGTAACAGCTCTTGAATCTGTAATATTCAATGTACATAAAAAAAGACAATAGGAACTTGATCATTATTTAGATGTATGTTGGGTCAAATGAAATAACCATATTGAGTTCTTGTAGTATAAAAATAAAACGTTCAGAGATTCTCTTTCAATTTATGTGTATTTAACTTACAAAAAAACTTATGTTTAGATGAAATTACTAGAACTGTGGATAACAGGATCTTGATCATTTTTAATTTAAATTTAAATATGAGCAATATTTAATGGATTTTTGATAATTCCATATAGTGATTGTATCCATGTTTAACAAATTATTATTAATAAATCTATGTCAAAATGTCTTAAGATTTATCTTCTGATAAACAGTGCGTGAAGAGATTAGCATTGATTGCATATTAAGATGGTAATATCTGTAACTATGCAATTAGACAATTAAGCAATTTAAGTAATAAATTATTACATAAAAGTTGTTATAAAATATTAAATAATTAAAATTTAAAAGTTTTGAATTACATTTAGATATTTAATAAGTATATTTGATGTTATTTCTTATAAATATAGCTTTTAAAAACCATTTTATGCACTTTTCTTTTTATGAAATACTAGTAAAACTAGTAAAATATTTTGGTGGTTCCAAAATAATTAGTTAATATGGAACTATTTCACCAAAATTTTATTTGTTCAAATTTATGGATTCCATTAAAATTTTAATTTTTAAAATATAGATAACGTACATTGTTAATTAACAGTAGCGTGCCATCCATGGAAGCTGTGGAAGTGCCGCTTCCCTTGTATTTTCTAAAATATAAATACCATACGTGCAGTACATATCATACGATTATTTTCATATTTTAAGATACTTTGAATTAATTAAAATTAATATTTTATTATAACAGCATTGTGTCATTTATTACAAATTTCTATACATGTGAAAAACAATGATAAGATTGTTATTGTATATTTGAATATAAATTTGTATATGCATATTCCCAATGGAAGTGCCGTATTGTCAAATATGGGATAGCTCTCCATAGCAAAAATATTTGAATCATGTAAGAAGCCAGAATATATACATTTGTGCATGTGCTTTGCAGAGCACCAACCTCACGCAGTTTATCTCATGGATGCTACACACCAAAATATTGTTTAACGCTTCCAAAGATTGTATCCAGGGCCAGCACAGCTTCCCTATCATCAAATATCACTACATGTCACTGTTAATTAATATGCAATATTACAAGTATGAAAGATTATATTTTTTATAATCTTTGTATTTTTGTTTAAACTGATTCTGTACAAGAATGAAGATCAATCAATATTTGTAAATTTAACTAAAAATTTAATAATTATCTTTCTATTAATTTAAGAAAATTAAACATCATGCCACAAAAAATTCAAAATTAATTAAACTGTACTAAGTAAAATTTTAACACCATTATAAGGAAAGTTTTCTATAAAGCAGCAATGTCATTATATAATTAGAATTATATAAAAAAATTATAGTTTGATAATTTGACATTTAATGTATATATAATTTAGAAATTGCTCAAAAGTTTTTTAGTATTTGTCTTAATAAATTATGTAAGACTTAAGTAAATTTTTGTAATTAATTTTTATTGTTATAAGTTTATATTTCTGTGATAATTTAAAAAATTTAATGATACTGCTTTTAAAAAATAACAGTACTAAATTATCATGTTAATCAAGGATTTGTAAAGTACTAAAAGATTGAGTTTCATAATAAATGCATTTTGGTAATGTTTAACAATGTATTTTTTATTCAACTCTTTTTATAAAATTAGGAATATTTTTAAAATTGATTTTACAACTTGCATCAAAACAATTGTTTAAGTATTGGCAATCCAATATTCATAATGGGCAGTTATAAATTTTTCATTTACTTGAAGAAATTTCAGATTAAATATAAATGACTAGTGAAAATTTAAAACATCCAAATTCTTATTTACCGAATTAAAATCATTAATTCCACTTTTAAAAAAAGTATCTGAAATTCAAACCATTCACAGTTTCACAAATCTGTGTTCCAAGTCATATATTCCAACAGAAGTTTTCGCATTTTCATCATAGTCAGCCCATTCCTAGGAATAAGATAAAGAAATAAATATATTATATATTTAATTTATATGAATATTTTTTGAACGATTAACGTTCTAATTATACATCAGAAAATGTTAGCTCTCTATGTATGACCAACTCTGTATGTTGAACATCTACCAACCTGCACTATAAGACAGTCTTTAACACCATTTTATTGATGTTAAAGACCAACTTCTTTAAATGTACAGTGTAAGATGATCAGTGTATAATTAGAAAAATTGAAAACAGTGTCATATTCCAAAATAAATAAATTTTACAGTTAAATATCTAATTCTTTAATTAATTTTAAATGTTAATTAGCTTAATTATTATACAATCCAATACATTTCTTGAATAAATTATATAGTTAATGAATGTTTTTGAAATTAAAAGTACATTTGTCATTTATTAGTGAGCATGCATTAAAATGCATGCTCACTAATCCAAGCTAATTATTGTATGAGATTGTTTGGATTAGTAGGGGTTATATATAAAGAACAGGAAGTAAAAAATTAACTATGTAGATATATAACATATTGGCTAGAATATTAGTCAATGTTTTTTCCTATTTTTAAAGAGGTTTAAAAAAAATTGCTCTTATACTTGAATTCAATTAAAGTTTTCTTTTGATTCCAATAACTGCTTGTGATATACGTTTTAGAAAGTCAAACTAATGCTAAAATTCAATGCATCAATTGCTTAGTGATGCTAAAAGTCAGTCAAGTTGCAGCCTGCAAACTATGCATGAGAATTAAGGGTCTAGCACAATTGTTTTTGATCAATCAACTAAACTAAGCAAATTGATTTTTGAATATGATAAAAATAGTAACTTCTACAAAATTATTTTGGTAACTTTTAATTATTATTTTACTAGGAATCTTTACTAACTGAGCAATCATCAGAAATTGGGGAAGGTTACTGAGAAATTACTAGAAGTTTATTATAAAGTGTAAATTTTTGTTGTAATTATAAATTTATGTATTCAGTATTATGTGTTAAATTAATTATCATCATCATCATCATCATCATACTTTATTATATGCATATATACATCATTCAGTTTAATACAGTGTTAGTTAGTTTTAACATTAGAGAACAATTTCTCTGTTAAGGGGGGAATTTACTAATTTTTTAAAGAAATACAATTAGAAATAGTAAATTTAAAATTTCAAATATACACTACAAATCAATCTTATTTTTGTTTAGACATCAATTATATTTAAAGATGTAGTGAATCATCTGCTTTACCACGACAACGGATGATTGTACAGACATTAATTTTGATTTGACAAATAGTATCGTTCTGAAACTTTTACAAAATAATTGTAAATTTTATATAGATCCGTTTTATTAAGATTTTTTAGACTTGATTTAAACTCCAGTTCTGAATTGGTCTGACATATTTGGGGTATTTTATAGTAATTACGTAGTTTTGAGAGTTCTTTACAGCTTTGAATTAAGTGGAGTAATGAAAATTCTTCAGATTTGCATAAAGGGCAATTATTTCTTGTTAGGTTGATATATTTATTATTAATAAACACAGAATATTTATTTAAGCGAAGTTGAATTATTAGACGCTTTATGTTCAGATTTATTGGCTGAAGCATATAGAGTTGTAAAGATGGAATTTGCAATAGTTTAATATACCATAGGTGATAACTGCTTTGATACAATGAATCTTGATCTCTATTTATTGCTTGTGAAATTGCAGAATCTATTAGGAGGGAGTAGCCAAATTTCCAGTCGTTAATATTATCGTTGAATAGTAGCACTGATGTACCAAAACTGTTTAAAATATGAATTAATTTATATTGCCATAGTTGTTTGAATTTTTGATCTTTACTATAAATAATATTTTGATGGTGAAGATATGTTATTGTACTATCGTTTTTGAATTTAATTCTGTAGTAAAATTTAATTATACGTTTTAAAACAAAGGGAAAAAACCAAATTCTATTTACTTCATGTCTTGAAGTGTAACCTGGAATTGTTCTTTCCAGTTGGAATAGTTTGCGCAGATAATAAACATGCAGAATTTCTAATTTATATACATAATCTAAACTCCATATTGGGCTTGCATAATATATTATTGGAACAATTATTGAGTTAAATAGTTTAATATGAACTTTCAAGTTGGTAGTTTTTAACTTAGAGCATAGAAATAATAGATTATCAATAGCTTGTTTTGCTTTTATTTTTATTTTATTAAAATGTGCTTTAAAGGATAAGTTCCACTCAAACCTAACTCCCAAATAGTCTATTTCATTTACCGTTTGTAAGAGGGTATTTTCATGGTATATTTTAGTGTTATTTTCAGATATTTTAGTTATTGCGGAATATGATTATTTTCGTTTTAGAAGAATTTATTGTTAAATATAATGATTGTAGAAATTTATTAAGTTGATTTATTTTCCTTTGTAATGAAATTTTTGTTAGAGCCAGGAGCACGAGATCGTCAGCAAAAAGAATATAATGATAAGTTCTATTTCCTATTGTAATTCCATCGGTTGGTTCAATAAATAGACAGTCAATACCAATAAGGTAGAAGTTGAATAGATATGGAGATAAAGGATCACCTTGGAGGACTCCACGAGATAAAAGTAAATTTTGAAAGATATTGTTGCCTTGTTTTATCTTGATAATATAATTTAAATATAATTTTGAAATTGCTGAAGTAAATCGTGTACTTGCACCACTGGATTTAAGATTATGTATCAATAAAGGCACATATATTGAGTCAAATGCTTTTTGGATGTCAATAAAAGCAGCATATATTTTCCTATGTTTTTTTAAAAGATATAGTTGATTTATCATTAATAAGGTGAAAATTGCAAATTCGGTTCCTTTATTGGTAATAAATGCATATTGGAATTCAGCTTCCAGCCCCATTGTTCTAGTCCATAACTTAAATTTATTTGCAAGAAGTGAAGTAAAACATTTTCTTATTACTGGCAGTAGTGCTATTGGTCTATAGTTGCTAGGTGAGAGAGGATCACCCTTTTTATATATCATTGTTAAAATGACTGAATTCCAGGATTCAGGAAAATACACATATTTATACATACTGTTAAACAGATTTAATATTTTTATTCTAGAGCTAGTTGATAATATTTTTAAAAAATCGGTAGGAATATTATCGCATCCTGGTGTTGTTTTACTTTTTGATTTCCTAATAACATCCTCCAACTCAGTTATTGTAAAGTCAGAATCCAGGATATCCTTATAGACTTCTATGTTTGTGTTTAGCGGTACTTCCATATTAATTTGTGGAAATCTATTATAGAATTGTTTCCAGATATTAAAGTCTATTTTAGCAGAATTTTCATTTAAGTATGATTTAGGCCGAAATCTTCGTATTGTGTTCCAGAACATGCTGCCATTATTGTTGTTTTTAATTAAGTTTAGTTCTATTTTCCGAAAATAATTTAATTTTTTAGTTTTAAGAAGATTATTATAAGATCGTTTAATTTTTTTATAACTATTAAGATTAAATACTGTTGAATTTTTTCTGAATTTTTTCAATGCTGCTTGTTTTGTTAATTTCATTTTATAACAATCTGAATCAAACCATCCTTGTTTAGCTCTAGTATTTTTGTTTATACATTTGTATTCATTTAGTATAGTTATTATTAAATTATATATTTTTTCACTATTAGTACTTGTTATTTCTGGAACTGCTAAATCAGGTNAACTGAATCAAACCATCCTTGTTTAGCTCTAGTATTTTTGTTTATACATTTGTATTCATTTAGTATAGTTATTATTAAATTATATATTTTTTCACTATTAGTACTTGTTATTTCTGGAACTGGAAAATCAGGTTTAATACGACCATTCAATATATAGAGTTTATTTTCTTTTATAAAGTCTAGCAGCTTGTTCCCCAAATTATTAACCTGTTTATCTTTTGATGTTCGAGTATTTTTAATTAAATGATTTGGTCCCTTATACTTGGAATCCATTTCCTCACCAATTCTAGAATTGAAGTCACCCAAGATAATAATATATGGAGTTATATAGTACCATGATTCTATAACTTTAAAGATTTTATTTAGAGTTTTTAAATCACCGGGAGGAACATAAGTTAATAATATCATCATTATTTGATTATTCTTATTTAATTCTTTGTTTCCAATTATTGTGATGAGAAGTAATATATAGTTCCTTGATTTTTTAACTTGCATTGTTTTACAGTATTCCCTTTCCATCAATAAACATAAGCCGCCACTTGGTCTTCCGGAACCTATTGGTTTACTTGCAATTGAAGATTCAATTATAAATTTATTTGAAAAATTTGTAGTATAAAATTTTTCCGTTGTTATCCAAGTTTCCGTTATACCAATAATAGCCGGACTATATCTAGTATGCAAAGAATTGATAACTGAAGTTTTGTTTTTTAGACCTTGACAATTCCAATTTAGTATATCAAAAGAGTTATTATTATTAGGTTTATTCAAACTTTGAATTTGACTTTGGTTTGTGTTATATCAACTTCCCAAATCTATCATTTTACAGTAAGGCAAAAAAGTATCAACATATACCAAATTTTTCAGATTAATATTATAAGTAATTTTTTCAGATCCTGATATTAAGATGTCATTATGTAGTTTAGCCTGTGCATTTTGTTTCTTTATTTCATATAACACTGGAAGTAGATTTTTTCGTCTTATTCTTGTATTTTTATTAAGATCTGGAGATATTTGAGAATCTCTCCAATCTTCTAACTGATTTTGCATTTTTTTCCAAATAAAAGCAGAAAAGATTTGATTTCGGAGTTGAATATTTTTAAAAATTATTTTAATGGTAATTTTTGGTGGTTTTGTTAACTGAATCACATCTAAAATGTCGTCTTGAATTACATCACAAATTTCCAAAAAGGAAGTAATGAAATTATGAATTACTTCTCTAGAAACAGATCTCGAGTTAGGATAGTTATATATTATAATATTATTATGATTATTGTCATTAACTAAAGAATCTATTCTAAATTGTGTAAGGTCCTTCTCATTTTGCATATTGTTAATTTGTTGTCGTAAATTCGTAATTTGTTCTTCCATTTCTACTTGTTTTTCCTTAGCTTCGTTTAAATTTACATGAATTAAGTTTAGTTCCTCCTTAAAATCTTTTATTTGCTTAAATAGTTTATCATTAGATGTTTTTATTAGGTTAGATATCTTATTCCATAAAATGGCAGATAAAGTGTCCAATAACTCGTCCGGATTATTTAGTAAAGAATCAAGTACATTTGGCTCACCTGAATAGTCTTGTGTATTGTGTTGGTCTGATATTTCAATAATTTTCTTAGCTTCCATATAAGTTTCTTGTAGATTTTTTTCCGGTTGTAAATTATAGTCAGTAATTAATCGGGAACTTGTTGCAATATCCTCATTACGTTTACTTGCTGATTTGGTTCTGGTGAGCGGTGGTCTTCCACGTTTGACTGGAGATCGTTGCATTGCCATTAGTACTAAATTTTTTGTTAAATTTTATAGTTCTATTAATTACTTATTACTTTCCTTTTTAAAGTCAAAAAAATGATTAAATCAATTATTTGGTTTAAAGAATTATCACAGATGAAGTGAGTAAAAAATTCACCAGCAGTGCCGAGAGTTGGGAACGCCCCCCTTGTATTCAGTATTATTATATATTTTATACTTTATAAAACAGTAACATAAAAAAAAAAAACGAAAATTTTGGTTCCATTTTCAATTGAAACTGCAAGTATACTTTCTGGAATATATGAGAAGTATGCAGGAAAGTTTACTTCCCATGGTGTGACGTATTAATATATACCATGCAGCCTACTACCTGGTACACAATTTTGCTCTATAACTTTTAATAATTTTATTTTTACTATTATCAACAGGAAAAGAGCAATAAGTTATAATTTGTCACATATAATATAGGCATACAATGCATATATTTCTTTCTATAAAACAAACCCTTTGAGTAAATTTTTCTGATTAAATAAATATGATTTAAATGCAATTTGTAAAAATTAGAAAGCAATCAAAAATTTATTTATGTTAATTAATTCTCAGATATTTGCAAATACAAATTCAAAAGAAATTTTAACTGTAACTAAAGCATATCTAAAAAGAAAGAAATGTAATTGAATATGATTAATTTTTGTAATCAATTGCATAGATAAAAAGAAATAAAAATTCCACATACTTTTGTGAAAGTTAGAACAACAGAATTACGAAAGACTGTTGGTGAAGACACAATTATAAAGGGTTTTAAGAAATATTATCAACAAGTTGGATAGAACAGAGAATGTTGTACTGTTTAAGGAAGCTGAATACTTAAATACTATTATGGCAATGAACTAGAAAATGGGAATGACAATGAAAGTGATGAAATATTGTTTCAACGACTTTCAAACTTTTTATTTTTGCAGCCAATTATTACGCAAATAAAATTAATAATGAAAGGTCGACTTATATTTGTATTAATATTTTTCAAAAAGTAAGGATTCTAAAATTGGAAGTTACTTACATTTGGAATTAACCTACATTTTGGCCAATATGGTATAATGTCAGGGCTGGCAAACCTTGTCATGACAAGAGCCATATCAGAAATATAAAAGCTGCATTATCTATTGAAACTGTATTTCACGTAAGTTATATATATTGTATATATTTGTAACTTATACTGGAGCTGCACTAAGGGTATAGAAGAGCCATATGTGGCTTGCAAGTCTCTGTGGGTATATATATTTTAACATTTTTGTGCAGTTTGAGTATATATATTTATATTGAAATGCTAGTACTGGTTAATTTTACAAATTTTTCACATTTTTAAAACATAATCTATGATTTTCTTTTGGCTGAGACAATGAAAACTTAAAATTGGTTTGGATTAGCGAGAGTGAACTGTATTTCTTTCTACAATGCAATAACATATTAAATTTTAATTCTATTATTTATCTCTCTGTACTTTTGAAGATACATCTGTAAGCTAAGAAATATTGAGTTTGTAATTTTGAAAACTGCTCTATTAAAGCAGATTTTTTAAAAATTTTATATTCTACTATTTACAAAAATTATCAAACTTAAATAATAAACAAATTATATTTGTTCTTGATTTTTTTTAAATGCAATTAAAATTTAATTAAATGAATACTGATTTTTTTCCAACGACATTTAATTTCAAAGTTCTTTTATAAAAATCAAAAGTTAGTATCATATTTTTTAAGTGAATTTTTATTATTAATCTTTGACTTACCTTTTGTTCTAAATTAATATCTGTAAATTTTGTTCCACTTTCAAGTCCTTCTGCTTTGAAACCACCCTGTAATAATAACAACTTAAAAGTAAATATATATTAAAAAATTATGTTTATAATTTATATTTTTCGCTTAGTCATATATATTATATACCAGGGGTGGCCAACCTGCGGCTCGCGAGCCACATGCGGCTCTTCGAAGGATTATTTGTGGCTCTCGATAAATGTACTGTACCCGAGTTCCCTTTTTATTTTTGTGTTATTATATTTTAAAAAATTATTATCGTCCATATGTGTTTCAAAATGTCTTTTATATTACTAACAACAAATATGAAAGATTAAGTGCAACGTTGTAACAAATTTCATTTCCGTCCAAGTTAAGAATGATATGACTCATCGAAAACTGCGCGAACGAACATAAACAGTGGCGTAATCGTCCGT